GCTCGCTAGCAGCTTCACACCAAGGACCTATCCACGTCATCATTTACCCAGAGTGCTTTGCATGTAAATAAAATGGCCCCATCCCTGTAATGCTGTATGTTTTTAAACTTTTAGTTTAAAAATTATAAAAACTAAACAGCCTACAGAATTTTTACAMTCTTTATTTTACAGTTAAAATATATGTTTATTAAATCATGTCTACTGTTACAACTAATCAGGGATCCCTTTAAAAGGGCAGTTGTGTTTGGGTAAGTGTGCAGCGCTATGAGGCTCTCACGTTGTGTTAATAAAAAAGTTGTGCCCATTTCTATCATTTACAYCACCCAACCCTTTGCTGCTTTGGCATGTTTTCACATCCTGACCACTAGATGACACCCATACTCCACGACACATGAGCATCAAGTCAACATCTACCGCCTCACATTTCCACCTCTACATCCTCCTGTTAACACTGGTTTAAACAGATACAAAAATCATTTTTAAAATGCTTCATTCTTTGAGATGAACTAACTGAGGCTCAGTCAGCTTCGGTTTTATTGACTTGCTGTGATTAATGGGGCCTCAGTGCAGTCAAGTTGTCAGACATTTACAAGTCGCGTTCCACTGTGCCACAACTGAAGTGGACAACCCGAGCACAGAGGCCCAGTGAGTGTGAGAAGGCATCTCATTAGTTGTCCCGGCCCAGCAGAGTGGCCCGTTTCTCCCAGGAGAACAGTTTAAGGATCTGGGAAACTCACTGAAACGGCAACAGCTGCGACTCCGCATTAACCTGATGAAAAGTCATCCTCCCTTTTCTTCGTCTCTTTCTTCATTTCAACTGTTTTGTCAGTCGGTCCCAGCAGACCGCCTCCGCCTGGATCCCAATCCATCTGTTGTCACATCATTGTGAGGTTTAACTGGATAAAACGAGCTTCTGGATCAAGGGATCACTCGTGTCTACTGTGTTCTGCAGACTATAAAAGTGGATATTAGTGCGTGTGAGTTTGCGTAAAAAAAAAAAAATTTGAAAGTTTGGCTCTTTGTGCAGGTTGTGTTAATGGAGAGCTCTGCTGCTGACCTTTAGCTTATCCCTGAACTTCAAGTTGTTGCTGTGGTTTGTTAACTTTTTTTATTCTCTTTGGACTGAAACAATCATTCAGATTGCAAAGACTGAATAAAATCAGCTTTCAGCCCGGCCACRTMGCTCAAAACTTCAAGACTCATGTTMGAAGAYATACGATGATATGTGACTGATGTCTGTAAARCAAAAAGTTTTAAAAAGTTAACATGTAGAATATCAAAGTCACTGCATGAAAGCATTTTATTTGGGTCGGGGGCAGAGTTTTATGAAATGCCAGAATATGGGAGACTCTTCATCACAAACAGACATCGAAAAAAAAAGTAAAGTTTTCAGTACATTTGCTCAATGAGCTGCACTCAATCTACTCCAGAAGACATTAATATTAGTATTGTGCTRAAGTAATATAATTATAAAAAAAACAATAGTTTGAATAAACACACAAGTAAAATCTTAGCTTTTCCCTCCGAGTTTCTGTACTTTTTGTAAAGTCGTCTTGAGCATCAGATGTGCAGAAGTTCATTAAGTTAAAAATGTAAAACACAAGAAGTAAACCAACATTATGGTTGCTTTTATTTTTGAGTCGCACCAGCAGCTTTGAAAAACAACATAAATAATTCCTGTCCTTTTAAAAAATACCAAAGAAAACAGTGGAGCGGCTGTATAAAACAATGTATTCCTGCACAAACGCTCCCGGATTATAATAATCCAAGCATATCCCAGCATGATCTGTGTGTCCTGAAAACAAATGGATCCTTTACTGAGGCAGACTGGCAGAGTAKATGTACCCTGCTTTGTGCTTAGAGTCTCAACTGCTCTGGGACAATGAACAGGATAAAGTGGGTCTATAAAATGACTTAATTAAAAAATGGACAYCTTTAAGAGAAAGAAGTGCCAACTATCTAGTGCAGACAAAGACTGTTGAAGAGGAGACAACCTCTAAGGAAAAATTAGTAGCCAAAATAAGGTCATTATTTATTTAATCTTGCAGATAATATCTGCTTCAGCATCATAATAAATCAAAGTATCAAGCAATACTTTGGGATGTGAAGCAGTATAATTTACTTCAGGGTAACATTTCAAACCCACAATGTTTAATCGAACTGTAAACAAAAATATAAAAAAAGCACTGAAGACAGTAAAAATATAAAAGCAAAAAACAGGGTTTTACAATGACATAAAAAGGTGTTAAGTCACAAAGTCCCACTGGTGTAAAGTTTTTCAAAGCAGGTTTGTTTCTGAGTCCTGTTGCAGGTTGTGTTTGAGCTGCTGAGGGCCTATGCTGTGGCACCACAAAGTCTTATAGAGGCTGAGATGTCCTCCTCTGGTCGTCCGGTGGTCAGAAATGGCCATGTCTGCAAAAAAATAAAGACAAAAKAAAATAACACGCAAMTAGGTTCCTCAATACATCCTGACTTTTTTGAAAATAAAGTGTTTTGTGTTGTTAATCATCAGATGGATGTTAAACATCAAGCAACCTGTAGAAAGCACGAGTCACTTTAAAGCTTCCTACCAGACTAACTGGGTGCGCAAAGCTGGTCTCGAAGCGCTCCTCCTGCAGCAGCTGTCTGAGGTGGGAGATGTAGCTCGAGGCGAGACGGAGCGTGTCCAGCTTGGACAGTTTGGTGTCCGCAGGCACCCAGGGCAGGCTGGTTTTCAGCCTGGAGAAGGCTTTGCTCAGCACTCTCATCCGCGCCCTCTCCCGCGCGTTGGCCGCRTTCCTCTGCGTCTGCCGCGCCTCCTTCTGGTGCGGCTCAGAGAGTCYGCTGCTGCTGTGGGCCTGCTTCCTCCTCCTGTCATCTTCCTCTTCGGAAAAGCGCTCGGGACTATAGCAGGTAGTCTTCCTCTTTAAACGGGACCTTCCATGATGCCTCTCTTCCTCCTCAGCATCACTGGCAGCGGAGCCGGTGGACATGGCTGCTCCACCTGAGCCTTACGCAGCGTCGCAGGTGCCTGGAAACGTCTTTGATTGACCGTTTCTGACAATCTTCCAATAAATTTACAAGTCAGCCTCCTTAAATTCCCATCTGGTAACTCTAACTCACTCTGAGTCTGCCTCCAACTGTGACCCGACTCCTTGTTTGGGCCTCTGTAATTTAAGTGCCCTGGCCTTGGCATCTGCAGCATTTCTCCTCCCCTTTTCTCCAAGACTCCATGACCTCARCAAGACCACATCTCTGTTTTTATATATGCAAACTGCTCAAGRCCTAAAGTTGCTCATCTCCAACCAGATAATCCAGTTAAATGTCTTGAATTTACACCTGCTYAATGAGACTTGTCTGCAGAAATTATTGCACCAAAGCAGTGTAAATCTCCAAAACCTGTTGCATCACAGGAGGTTAAAACTTCCCTAATATCGGTGTGAAGACTGCAAAAATGTAGTTATGCAGATTTCCCGTAAACACCTCAGCACTTTGTTGCTCCTGCAGATGTGCTTTGGTAATAGAAATGTCTTGAGGACCTTATCAAAAGTGTCTAATCCTTTGCTGGTTTCACAGAGGGATTGGGTTTCTGCAGATGGAGCGGCCTTTCACACGCAGCCTGCGTGCACCAGCTGTTCTGGGTTCCCATGACATCTGGAGCGCTGGCATGACAAGGGTGTGGCAGATGCAAAGAGAGGCCCCATCTTCCATCTCATAAAACATTTTTTTTTCTTTACAGTTCAACATGGATTGGATTGTATTTGTTGTGCACTTCAGGCCTCTCAAAGTGCAGGGAACAGTTAGACTGCCATGGTGTGGATTGAGGTCAACGTCATGGAAAACACCTGTTAAAACATCTGCTTTTTCAAAGAAGTAAAGGTTTTTTCAATGTTAGGGTTTATATACATTTGAGATGGAGTTGTTTGAAGCTGGTCAAAGCAATCAGAATGAAATGCCTAACATTCTTTGAAGCAATATTGCTAGCTGAGATTTGAATGAAAATCTTGTGATAAAATGGACAGAGTAATAAAGGTTTGATCAAACGTATGAAATGTTGTGTGTAATCCTGTGTAATCTTGTGATAAAATGGACAGAGTGATAAAGGTTTGATCAAACATTGTATGAAATGCTGTGTGTAATCCTGTGTGATATTTTGCTAAATGTGTTAGAGCTCAGACAATGTGCTAAGGATGACTCTCGACTACTACCACACCAAAACTTAGCCCAATATCTTGAACACTGGCAACATCATGGTCATTTTTGTTTCCAAAGGTCAACTGGCTGTGGTGAAATGAAGTGAAACAGTTGTAAATGTTCATCCCCTGTTTGCTGAAAGTTTCATTAAAATYTGTCCAGTGGATCTTGAGATTATTTGTTAATGAAATATCAGGCCCAAATGAGAGATCAAATTCTGCACGAGATCAATTCAGTTCTCAGATATGAATATTTATTTACAGAYATGCAAAGTTACCACATGTTTCAGAGCTGGTGTAGTCCTGGAGATCCAGGAAATGGCTTTGAATCGCACCTGACCCACAGCTTTTACCAGAGTCAAGTCCCATCCTTATAATGATGTCATAGTAAACAAGGGAGTTTCATTAAAAGAAACATTTCAGAAAATTCCACTTTTTTAGCCATTAAATACATTGTGT